TTATTTGTTGAAGATGAACCGCTCAGTCGTTGTACGTGCTAAAAAATATAGTTCATGCTGTCAACGTTTTAACTGCATAACTAACGGTTGAGAAAAGTTTGTTTACACAACGCTGGAATATTACATTAATCAATGTTAAAATATGATCCTTTGATAAAAAGAGTTACTTGTATGAAAATAGTGACATACAGTAAAAGTGATAAGTGTATTAACTTCAGATCAAATTTTTACATTTTTGTTTATTTTCTTAAATTGTACGAAATGCTGATATATGTTAATCACAAAAAATTCGTCAAAAAAGACATTCACCCAGTTATGTCATACGTCATATGTTCTATAATAATATATAATGTAATTAGTGTTAAATTAAGACGTTAATCTTAAAGATTTGTAATTAAATGCAAAGTGAATATACTTTATATAATACAATGTACCTGAAATTGTCTTATCATCAATAATTTAAATTATATCAGTTGTATTTTATGCTTTTAAATTGTATCAGTTTTATTAAATGCTTTTAAATTGTTTCAGTTGTATTTTATGCTTGTAAATTGTATCAGTTGTATTTTATGCTTATACAAAAAATCTCTTCCCAATCATGACGTGTAAAATGTAAAAATAGTTTGAAATCAAGTTCACATAAGCACGTGTTTAAACTAAAAGAAAACGCATAAAATATTTTCACTGCTGTACTAGAGAAATTAATTTGTGTTCATGATGTTCAGTTAACCAATCAAACCATACTCTCTTCTCATTAAACAGGTCATTAAGCAACTGCCCTTGTAATGAAGTTTTTTATTGTTTTTTACAAAATTAATATTGCTCTCGATAACAGCATTCATACAAAATAAGAAACTATTAAAACACCACTTTAAGCAATTGCTAAAAGAAACATGGCCAAACCATTTTTAGATATTATAAAAGTTTCAATTTTATACAGCAAAACGGCAAATTATCATGCCTTTAGCCAAGTTAACAATTACATAGTGTTGAATATGACCAAGACAACATAAACGTTAAAACAGTACATACACGATACAGTGCTTGCAATATATATATGTATATAACATACATAACATACATGAATTGTCACAAGAATACAGTAAAGTTTATTTATATTATGCACATTTAGAGCAGCTTTTACATTGACGAATGCTTTTCTTATTTGAAATGCTTCCGTTTGGCAGTTTCACATATATTTTACTATTACAAAGTAACCATTTATACACGGGACCAATAAACAATTCTTATTCGTTGAATAATTCGATGATGTTATGTTTCTGTATTTGCTCAAACACTTTTAGTGTAATAGTTCATAATTATTTAGTTTCTTTTTTAACACTTTACCGTCACTTAAGTAATCAACTGAAAATGTTTATTATTTAAACTTTATGAATGACAAACAGTTCACATTTTTACTGCAAGACACCATACGTTTATAGAATTGTAGTTTGTTTTGTATTAATTGCAATATAATAAGTATCTTAATGACGGCACATAACAATTTTATATTCTTTGTATGGCATTTTTTAAATCTCTTGAGTTCATTTCATCACATATCATAGATATAACCATGATCATTATTATAAATATATAGTTAATGGATTGACGTTATTTTTATTACTATCATGAAAATATAATGAATGAATTGACGTAATAGTTATTACCTGCATGAAAGTATTGTTTATCCAGAACATTTGTTTGATTACAGTTACTATACATTACTCTATTACTTTTGAAAATCTTTGTCTAGTCTTTATGAAAATCTACAACTTATTCAGGTTTGTGAAAACGTGAATTAGATTTCAAATGCTACTGTTTTTATGCTATGGAAATGTACGACTGGTGACTTTGAAGGCCTATATATATAACGGTTTCAAAAATTCAAAGACTAAGTATAACGGCGGTGTTTTTCTGATGCATTGCATGTCATGTTGGTTTTTTACATCAAATTGTCTATTAATGTTTATTTCACTTTTAATTTAATCTAATGACTCGGAATTTTATCTGGTACTTTAAATATACTACTTCAAAGTTAAAAAAAGACGGGATAATTCATTCTAGGGGGTAGTCGGGTGCTTTCGAATTATTTTTCAGGGTGGTGGTGTGTGTTTTAGCGTTGTTTTTCATTGTATATTCAAATCCTTTACATATTATCCAGACAACCAGTCTTTCAAAAAACAAAACAAAAAAACAGAATTATGCCAAAATAAATAATAAAAAACAACATTTTAACCACTAGATTCTTTACCTAATTTTTGTTTTGTTTTGACTAAACGGTAGCGACTGTTTGCGTATTTCGTATTCACTGAAGCTGACAGGTAAAATAAGTGCATCTAACATTTGTAGAGAAATATTGGTGCAGCAATCATATCAATTATCTTTAAAGGAGTCAGGACAATATCGTACGTATACTAAACACTTGTCACGATATATTTCTTGCACTTTTTTGCAACAATCAATCACTAAAACAATCATTCAAACAGTAGAAAAATTATCTATTCACCATATTAACAAGATATTATAAACTACTTCTTAAAATTGTATTTTTTTTTTACAATAACTAACTATATTCACAATGTTAACCGACTTTTAATAATTTATAAGATTAACCATAATTTGATAAGCTTTAACATATGTTTTAAATGATAAAGCAAAAGTTTTATAATGATAATACTAAAACTTTTTTATGAAGCATATTTATGAGATACCGTACAATAAACGTAGTTCGTTATATCTTCAGGGCTATCTAAATAACATATATTGTATTTATCCAAAGTATAACCGATTTAAAGCACTGCAGCCTGTATGAATGCAGAAATGAAATTTAGAAAATTCTTACTGAATTGATTTCAGACTAATGTACAAATCATGTTTGGAAAGCTACGTTCACCATTTATGGTCAAGGAAATTTTTGCCCTTCTTATAAAACTGCCAGATTCTTTTAATGACACTACGTATTCATACTTTGTTTACCTATAGTATGTAGAGTTTAAAAGGTAACATATCTTCTCTGTGTGTACACAAAAGATGTTCGTTTGAAAAGAGACTCAGTATTTTCAAATGTTAAATTTGAGCATGATATATCTTAAGACATAGTAGCTCAATAGAAAAATATATTTATATTGAATGCATTTAATTACGTTTTTTAAATATTGCTTTTTGCTTGTACATGTTGGTATATTTGAGTTGTATTTCATTTACTTTATAGAGCGGCGTTTGCGAGTTATATAGACAATAGGCAATAACGTTCACTTTCAAACTTGAAAGTTGTAGAATATGTAAAACTTTAAGCGAAAAAAATCGGGGTCACCGTTCTCATTTTCAGTTCAATCATTTCACTATTCTAGAGAGTCCGTTACTGAATAGTATCAAATAAGCCTTATTTGATTTCGCAAAAATATTGCAGTTGTATGGAAATTATTCAGAATGTCGATTGCAATGTTGTTTTTTTGTGTTTGTTTTTGTTGTTGTTGTTGTTGGTTTTGTTATTTTTTCAAATCTAAAGTATATATCTAATTGTTCTTGACCTAGTCGCCTGAATCCTTCAATTGAATGCCTATCCAAACTGATAGATCTAGACAAGTACGTGTGTTGTTTGTTTGTTTATTTTGTTATTTATGTATTTGATGTTATAAAAGAGCATTAATATTTCAAACTTATATTTGACTGCCCTAAAAACATAGTTAAGGCTTGGGACTTTAATTCGGTTAAGAAATAAATTTAATTTGGATAATGTTGAAAAGAGTACTAAAACACGAAACACGCACAAACACATGTGTAAGAAATGAGAGTGCATGTGTTTCCATTAATAAAAAAATTATGAATTTTCAATTTTTTATACTTGTAATCAGGTCATTATGCAAATTTGCCTCTTGTAAAGTTTTTATTGTTAAAATAAAATTGATGAGTATTCTAAGTACCCAATTTACTTTATGAGGCAAGATCTAAGAATGGTTTGAGCAAAATGGTTTTTTTTCGGATCCGATTTGTTAAGATGGTTTGGTGTCATACAGTACATTTTGTCTAATTTGCTGCGCAAAGGTGTATGCTTAATGGTAAATATACAATGTTAACATTTTATAAGAAAAAAAGAGAGGAGTCGCGAAAAAAAGCAAGATCGTTGTTTTCCAAAGTATGTTTATATGTGTAATTTGAAAATACATGCATAACGAATTTATATAAAAATATTTTGTATTTATTGGTAGTTTTACAAGAAAATTATTTTGATTAGAGCAAATTATTTTTAGAAATGAGTGAAATATTTCTTCTTCCGAAAAGGGCAAAGGGCAAATCGGTATTTTGATTTCCATAGCAAAATGGTATTTTGATTTCCATAGAAAACACTAAACCTGTATAACTGTACTAAATCCTTAAACGAAAACGAATCAAATATGTTTAAGATATATGATCAAACGGAAACTTTAGGAAAACTTAACAGGACCAAAAAAAGGTGCTTTTAAGAAATAAAGCTATATCATTGTTCAGGTTTAATGGGTGAAAAATACTTCATTTCATAAGAATAATTTATTTAATTAGATATAACATCACTCTTGCAGTTGTTCATTTTTCACATAAATTGTGATGTTGGAAAAAGAATACTATGCATGTAAAAAAGAAAAATAGTTGAAATTGTAGGAACATTGTTACTTAATGCAAAATACGTCAAGGAGTTAAAATATCTATAAATTAACCGTTTGATAGAAACTCATCCTGATATTTTTAATATATACATTTTTTCACATTTTTATGCAGTTCATAAGTATGTAACTTTAAAACTACAATTTGGAATTATGAACTATCTACTGTAAAGATCACTCATTTGATACCTGATTTAAAAAATACTTGAAAGATATCAAAAATCAGGAAAGTATATTCAAATGTGTTGTCTTACAATATATGTATCAAATTTGCCAAACTCTGCTAAGATATTGGATGCACATTGTTTTACACAGATATTCACATGCTATAATTGTAGAGAATAGTGGAAGCAACTGTGAACTCGTAAGAATCATTATGCTTACCTTGTTTTTGCACTTAATAAACAGTTTGCACGTTTGATTATAGTATTAAAGTATGAAAGAACAAATCACTTATTTTTATATCTAGTGAATAACGAGGAACCATATTTTGTAAGTGGGAATATAAATTCCTTCGTGCTAACAAGACTGAACGATCAACTTGTCAAAAACACTTAATGCATTCAGCAATGTATTTTGTCATATGCCTGTTCTTTTGAGAATGTGGAATTATTACGATAGTGTGTAAATATGTTCTTTAGATGATAAATTTTATGATAACGTAACATTATGTCGCAGGTCGTTATCGAATTCAAAGGGACGTTTATAACTTTAATTGTACAAAAACGAAGCATATTCAGGTAAGACGCTTAATTATTCAAATTATATTGTTCATCATGAACTAATTTTGCAAATCGTTTACAGGCAAACTTTGATATTAAATGACAATCTACTATATGATTTACTGAAAACAAACAACACATGGAATTCTATAGAATGTTTATACTTAGAGAAAATATTAATTTCAAATTTGAATCCGATTTCTCCCAAAACAATAATGTTCTAATATCCCAGATAACAAATTTGAAACCAATTTTTAAAAAAAGTAATATCAGATACATGTTGAATTGCATAACATACGCAAAACCATGGAACACCATTTTCTACTTGCCGGCGGTTTATTGCTTATATATACATATATTTGAGGATGGTTTTTAAGGATATGTGGACATGTTAAAATTTTGACATTATGCTCAATTTTTCATCGTCAAGTTGAGCTGAATTGAATATAAATTTCAAAAGATTGACTGATGTCACGGTTATTGATCAAAAGTTGATATTGGAACATATTTAGGATAAAATATTAATCTGGCTTAAATATAAAAAAGACTGCCCCTCTCTTTTTATAAATTAAAATTTACAGGTAAATTATGTTGGATATTTTCAGAAATTTTCTTGGACCATGTCACTTATATATCGCTCTTGCGGAGTAAATTATAAAATTATAAAGAATTATGGCAAAAAGTAGACATATTTTGACTTTCACTTGTTCACTCACTATATACCCTTGGATAGATATAATGTCACTTTAATTATAGCATTATGTAATTCATGTTACCTAGTTAGTATAGCCAGATGAACATAACATTTAACAAAATGTCGGTATTATTTTTAGAAGGATAATAAGCTATACATTGACATGTCTTTGTTACTTGGTGTGGGAATATGAAAAAGACATATCCGTCAGAAAAAAAAAATAACAAAATAAATCTATACAATTTATTATTTACCAATGATATATAAGTGCACACCATTTTACAATATGTTTATATATTTACTCGTATTTGAGCAATCGTTGTGCAATAATGCATTTGTATGCAAATACCTCAACTACTTTCATTAAAAAACAGATTTAAAGATGACTGTACTAAATTCTTATAAATTTTGATTGCTCGTTATAAATGTTAGACGTTAAGAGAAAAGAAGAAAAGGGAAGTGTAAAATAAATCAATCATGTTTTGTTATCAAACAACTCCGATCCAGCTCTTAATGACCAGCTGAATAACATAATCTTTACAATCTTCGTTATCAATTATCAAACTATCAAAGGTAGAATAAAACATGCGTTATATGTTTATCACGTTGGTGGAATGTTTATTGTCTTTATACATAATAAGTGTGCAGGTATAAAATATGAGCATCGTAATGCTATTATTATGTCCTTTATATTTCCTGGTTAGATAAGGAGATGCCAGGGAAAATGAATAAATCATGTTAATTTGTCTTATTGTATATTAAGCAGACATCAAAAGTGCTCAGGTTTGTTTCAAATTTTGCTTAATTGGTCAACAAATCAGACTTATTTATGAAGGATTTAAAAATATATCGCTGTTAACATTGTGAATACTGGCCAGTGTATTATATGGCATATACAACGATTTATCTGTCCAATGAAAACAGTGTTATAATTGTATGCTTTTAAAGTTCAAATTATTTTACAAAAAAACAAACAAACAAAAGAACACAAAAAAACGCCTCAAAACGGCGAACTTGAACAATGAAATTACGATGAGTTTTTTTAAGCTTCATCTTTATTTGAAAAGTATGCCGACCGAATTACTTTTCATTAGAGGGAAACAAACACCTTACAGTGTGAAACTTCATGTGAAACTTATGTTTCCTTAATCACCTTGATTTAGCTGTAAATAAATGTTCTCTCTGTTTAAACCACGTACTCATGTAAGGTCTTCCGAGGGAACGTTTTGTCTTTTTCGTGTATATGGATTTATAAATGGCACCCGTAATAGCTGTAAACAATTGGTTTTAATTGGTAATAAGTATCATATCAAATAATACAATTAACGACATGCTTTTCATATACAATCAAGAAAAAGTCTGATTTTATTTGAAATATGCGAACTTTAACTGCACCTGATGTGTTGAACTTATATTTTTCCTCTCATTATTAAACATTTCTGGAAAAAATCACGGACGAGCTTCTGGTTTTATGGGGCGTTGTGTGCAATAGATACATATATTGAGGTTGTGATGCATGTCATATTACTAGAGGGGGATAATTGATAACTATGTTTTGTCGTGGCCAATAACTACATTATCCCTTTTACGTGTTGACATTTTGAAAACATTTTCTTTAGCCTATAGACATACAATATATACTTTTCTCTGGGCAAACTTTTATACCGATGTGTCTTTTTCCATATGTTATAATGTAAGGATTAGAATGGTTGAAAGATTGCGTAAATGACCTTAAAATGAAGTTCATCAGGATCACTAGAAAAGCTAAATCTCTTACTTTGATAAGACAATTTTTTTCTTCTAAAATTCGTAGCCACAACATGAATAAATAAAAAGTCTGTAAGGAGGATGTTAGTCTGTACCTTTGTTTCACGACATTTCACTAATGTGTACATTTGTTTTAAGTTAATATATCACTAAAAATAAAAAAAACACGAAATTTATTAAGCTATTGAGATGCTTTTTCTAAACATATTTATTTCTCGAATATATACATAGACATTTATACATAAACAAAATAAATCAAACATGTTTATATTCAAGAAAAGGATTACAACGGAAGACTTAGTCTTATAAAATTCTTCTCCTTTAAGTTACAAAACATTTAACTTATTGAAGTAAAAATTACATTTTACGCAACAAATATCATACTGGAATTTTTTTTATTTTAATTAATACTAATATAATATATTATACTATGTATATTTATAACAATACAACATAAAATAATTATGTTATCATTGCCGATTTAATTTTCTTAGTATCATAATTGATAAACCACGCTAAATTATCTAATGTTAGGACATTTATAGTACACAGGAGCTTTAACAGCTAACGTTAGTTAAGACTTTTATTAAAGTGTCTGTCTATATATCATTTCTTTTATATATGATATCTCTGACACATATGAATATGAAATGATTCCTGTATTCGATGATTTTTTTTATAAATATTGTACACAAAGTCTACTTAATATCTGAATCTTATACATGTTATAGAGACCGCCTCCGTAGTCGAGGGGTTAGAGTCGATGACTTCTAATCCAGTTACCTCTCTGGCGTGGGTTCCATCCCCGGAATATGCTTTGGTAGTTTAGCGCAGAGGAAGGTAGAATAGTACTGGTGTAACTCTCCAGGAACGATGGTTAGGAGCTTACCCGCCTAGGCGTAAAATGAAACAAACGAACAACATGTTATAGATATAGAGATTAATTCCTACTAATATTCTTTTGTGAAAAATACATATAGATATGTGTGAATTTACACAAAATCATGTGGTTCTGTCAAACTCTTACACTTGCCAATCAATGTTCTATTGTTATGTCTAGTGTAGAAACAATATATGCTTAATTGTACTTTAAATGCATCATAAGCTTACGTGTACAATACGTAATTGGCAATTGGTCAATTTCTTATTTCGTAATAAATTGAAATTTGTGTCAATTTCCCTTCCTAAGAACTAACCTGAAACAAAAATGTAGCATCTTCCAATTGACATATGTAAATCATTTGGGCAAAGTTCAATTTCAATTTTTACTATTAAGTAGTATAAGTTAACTGAAATGTACAATCCAAAATAATATGTAGAAACACAAAAAAACCGGTAAACAAATTGTAGAACTTTCATTCATCCAACGTTTATACCTAATAAGAAGGCACTACATGTCGGACGATAACATCTATTGCGGGAAGTAACTTATCGATTAAGAAAAGTACAACCTATTATAAAACAGAATAATATAAGATTTCTACATCGTTTATTTTCCTTTATAATTAAATTTTATATTCGTTTTCAGTTGGTAAAAAACTTGACAGGTATTTTAAGAACCGACGTTTAAACTTAATGAGCTATAAACACTTCCGTTTTGCGCTGTTTTATTAAAAAATCTTATTTCCCAAAATTTAGTCTTACAAACCATCTAGTTCACTAGGTTTAGTTTTATTCTATCAAGTATAGCATTTACAAGAAACAATATCTATATCTTTTAAAGGTCAATATAGTATTACGTTTTAAATAAAACCCTCAATCATACAAACCAAGATAAGAATAGGGGTTCGAATTATTAAGTGCCATTTTAACAAATAAACTTTGCCTTTGATATGTACGTATCAAAATAACATGATCATATACCGGGATTATGTAATACGTTCTTGCTCTCCCCTTGCATAGTATTTTGTATCTTTACGGGCTCAATCTATTTAGCAAACATTTATTCACGGCAAAAACACGGATAAATATTAATGAATCAACGTAAGTTATTACATTATGATAAAAGATCTGCAAATGCTTCGACAAACGTCACCCTTTGAATGACCTTAAACGCAATTGTTTTATATCCGCATATGTCTTACTAAACAAGTGTATGAAGTGGTAAATCGGAGTATATTTTTCTACATTTTGGCATTTTTAAGGTTAATTTTCTACTTTTCTTGATTAAATTTGGTATAAATCAAATTGCTAGAAAGTATATGGTAAGCTTGTCAAATGATATTTCGAAAATAACTTAAAAACGAAACTAATCTGTAATTGATACTGACCATCTTCATCACCCTTTCTTCTTCTAAAAGCAACAGAAATAAAACCCTCAATCATACAAACCAAGATAAGAATAGGGGTTCGAATTACAAAATTGATCTCCATAAAATGTAACAATCTCCTGAAGTAAATTTATTATCTGCATTATGATTTTTAATTTGCTATAAATATACCCATAAATGTGGTCTAATAATTTACATTTCATTTGATCCTTTAAAAAGAAATAACGCTAATGTGAAAACGGTGAGAGGCTTCCACCAAAAATTACGAATGATATTTGCACTGTGGC